TACATATAGACGCGTGCGCATGCGAATACCCTTACCGCAGGTTACGGAACAAGGGCTCCACTCGCTGTAACCCGTTAGCTGACATTCAGCTGCAATGAAAAATGTGTAAATATTTGAGTAAGAACTTGAAATTATTTTCTTACGTCTCGTATCCTGTTCCTCAGCATCATCAGATACGTCCATTTTCAATGCCTCCAAGAAATTGTCATCACAGCTCCTGGAGATGATTTTCTCGCGCCTAATGTATAATCTTGCCAATGGCGTCATTTCGCTACTTTTTGGGTTATAAAAGGGTGAACGGGGATCCTCTGGATACATGGTGGTAATACGATACATGCGCTCTCGTGGCTGTGTTTCCGCATTGGGTGACTACAATGGGGGAATGGTAAAGGACCTTTGAATGTAACATTGAAGGCTAATTAAATGATTACCATGTAAGTGATGCCACTGTCAGTGCCCGCATCCCAAGGGTAGAGATCGAAGTCTAATGATTCCTTCCATGAACAATCTTCGGTACATAAATCAACACCACTAACGCCAACGACCCAGTCGGGAGAAGGGCCTAAATGTAAGATTTTTAAATATTTCTAAATCAGTTTTTTTTATACCCACCAAACATTGATACCAGTGAGACCTTTGGATGCGTACGGTCTACACGGAATTTCGACGAAGTATTCGTATTTACATTCGGATACCACAGTCCAGCAGCTTTTATAAGAGTTCTCAAACGTGGGCCTCTAGCACGTAGTTCAGTTTCCAAAGAAGTCGGCGATCCAAATTCAGCTAATAAGCGGAAACCATCGGTAGCTATATGATGCTCACCCCAGAACGAAAAGTTTGCCTCATGAGATGCGCCAATTACGTCTGAGAAATGCGTCAACCAAATGGCGAACGGATAATCCTTGGGATGTGTTTCGTTAGACCAAATACCTTCGAAAACGAACTATAAATTTAAAAAAAAAGCAAATTAGTAGCTGGGTTTATTATATTATCAATATCCACAGTCTTACATTATACTTAGCTTCGTCACAAGCACAGCATTCCTTCTTAACTGTATGCACGTTGGTTTTTCGCTCGCAAACGACCTGCGTTAACTGCCCCTCGTCGGAGTACCACGCACGAGGTCCTTCGTATACCATAGCTGATATGGAAACGCAACCAGAACCAGCTGCCGGTGCTACCCACATAACCTGTATTTCAGTTTTCGGTAAGTCTTCGGCCTCCTGAACGGTATTGACGCAACGGTCGCTAAACTTTGTAAGCGCGTCACTAAAAAGTAAAAATCGTCCAACACGCTTTGGACTGGCGGATTGTGCTCGCTGGCCAGCAGTGTGAGCCTCAGCAGTGATTGTGAAATGTGTAAAATGCTGAACCTTTTCATGGGTTCGAGCGCCGAGCAGCAAAACTGAAATTGGGCATAATAAGTTCGATTAATGTGGTTCGAATGGACAGAAACGCTCGAGCTCTGAAAGTATTCAATGCGGGTCGCTATGCTGGTAACAGAGGAACAGGATGGCCCACCCGCGTCGAAAAGGCCAGGTGGAGGATGCCTTGACTTTACTTGGCATTTTCATTTGGTATCAGTTGGCACAGAAGAAAACCGACTGGTGTGCTTTGTTGAACTCGGTCAAAATCGCTTAGGAGGTTACAGCGCCAATCAAGAAAACGAAGAGAATGTATTAGACTAATGGGCTTTTTGATATTGAGTTAATTTACGAAGTTCTTATCTCACCTGCTTTCTTAAAGCAGAAATCACTCGGTAATCACAACTAATCGTCCTTGTAAGGACTAACCAGCGGCGACTGGATAAATGCAAAGCCGAAAATATAGTCCTTCTGGAACTTATCATTCCAGATTTTTAAAATTATATATTTTCTTCAAATATTTTGCAAAACTTTGATAAGTGTAATAACCCGGAAACGCACCAAATTCGTATAAAATATTAGTTAAAACAATTCAGCCAAATTTATTGAAAACTCAATTAACAACGTAAAACATCTGTCTCCAACAGCTTTTCAATTATCAAGGTGTATTAAACAAGGTGGTGTTGGGGCGACAGCTGAGTTTTTCGCCGTGGAGGCCATTACGTCAAAATTATGTGTTTGTTGTAACTCATACCAATGACAGTATGGACATCAGCGTATAATTTGTTAGTGTAATTTTTTACTTATATACGGCCAACACCACCTTGTTAAATACGCCTTGTCAATTATCTTTCTATTTTCTTAATGACAGAATATTCTACGATAGTAATGATCAATAAAAACTTGATTCAATTGGTAGCATCGACAGGTCTCCACATCCCTCCAATGTTTTTTAACTTCAGAGTCAACCACGGGTTAGGGACCTCCGGCTCTACCGGTTCCACCATGGATTCAAATCCCTGAAAATCAGTAAGTGGCAAATCACCCTTATGCAAAGGTGCCGTACTGTCGTTAGACTTTGACGTCCTGGGAAGCTTCTTTAAATGACTGATGTTACGCCTGTAGACTTTATTATCCTTACGAATTGTGACATCGTTTCCTTTCCGTTCAACCACTTCAAATTCTTCCGCCCCAAACGTCGGTGTCAATTTGTTTGGAAAAACTACGTTCCGCATTAGTACTCTATCTCCAATCTTTATATCGCTCTCTTTTGCTCTGCGATCTTTGTCTGCCTTCTGCCTTCCTTTTTCTTTATTTTTCTTTCTTTCTTGTAGTCGGTTCCATTGCTATGTGCTATTCGCAGGCGCTTAACGATCGATCCATTCATATTTTCTACCCCACCATTTGCCTGTGGCCAGTATGGTGGAGACGTTATAATTTCAATGTTCTTGTCTGAACAATAAATTTTGAATTCATCACTGACAAACTGACGACCGTTATCAGTAGTTATGAATTTTGGGGTAGCCCAGTCTCGAGAAATCTTCATTTAGAAAATCAATTATAGCGCTGGACGTAATTTTCTTCAAAAATTTTACCTCCTGATATCTGGAATAATAGTCAATGACCACAAATATAAAATCATGATTAGGCAATGGTCCCAACAGGCCCATTGCCAGGCATAACCATGGCCCCTCCGGCAAAACACGACGGGTCATTGGCACCGGGTGTGACCAGTAAACAGTCGCGGCAATTCTTAACATATTTCTCTACATCTCGATCAATTAAAGGCCACCATACCTTTGAACGTACGCGCCGCTTCATTACTGTCTCTCCCGGATGGCCTTCATGTGCAATCGCTAAGACCCGTCCTCTTAATGGAAAAGGTATAACTATTTTGGTTCCTCTTAGTAGGATATTTCCCAAAGTACATAACTCAAGTCGAAATGGAAAAAACTTATTCGAAGTATTCAAATTCCATGAATTATCTTTCAGATTTACACCGCTTCGATCAATTCCGGATCGCATTGATTCTGCTCTACGATTTCAAGAATAGAGAGAGCCCGCGGTTTCTCCAATTATCGAGCAAATGCTGCTTTCAGATTGTTGATCGAATGGTACAGAATTTTCAATTTTAAACAACCTAGACAACGAGTCAGCAATATTATATTTTCCCGCCTGATATATGATCTTAAATTTAAACGATTGAAGGCGTAGCACCCCACGCTCAATGAGAGCAGGCGGCTTTGACATGGGCTTGAAAATCGTTTCTAAAGGCTTATGGCCCGTCACCAGTTCGAACTCAATGCCGGCTAAGTAATAGAAAAACCGTTCTACACCCCAAACTAATTCGAGACTTTCCTTCTCCGTTTGTGAATACCTGCGTTCGGTCTCCGATAAACTTTTGCTTGCAAAAGATATCACTTGCGGAACATCATTGTCAAATTGTAGTAGAACAGCTCCTAGAGCTACCGGACTTGCGTCAGCTATTAAACGGGTGCGTCTCTTCGGATTAAAATACAATAAAGTTGGCATTTTAGTTAGCTGTGTCTTCAGCTTCTCAAAAGCATCGTTTTGACGTGGACCCCAGATGAACTTCGCGTCCTTTTTAGTCAAACCCCTGAGGGTTTCTGTTACGTCAGCTAAATCTGGGATGCATTTCCCAAGATATGTTACCAAACCCACGAAACTTCTCAACTCTTCCTTGCTAGTCGGGGGTCGTAATTTCATTACACTGTCAATTTTCTCCGGATCAGGATTTATTCCCTCGTTAGACAAGATATGACCCAAAAAATGCAGCTTCCCCGTCTTCCAAATACATTTTTCCTCGTTCAACAACACATTCGCTTCTTTAAAAACATACAGCACATCCTTCAAGTTTTTGTCATGTTCGCTCTCCGTGCTCCCAAACACTATAACGTCATCCAAGTAGTTCAAAACAGACTTACATGAAGCCAAAATACTCTCCATAGTGCTTTGGAAAATTTCTGGCGCTGAATTCACCCCAAACAATAACCTTTTGTATCTGTATAATCCCTTTGACGTAATGAAAGTAGTTATTTCCCGACTCCCTTCGTCCAGTTCTAGCTGGTGATATGCATTCTTGTGATCCAGCTTTGAAAAATATCTAGCACCTTGAAGTTTAGTCATAAACGAGTCAAACGTAGGAAGCGGATAGTTTTCTCTTAAAATCGCCATATTGGCACGCCGCATATCAATGCATAAACGTATATCCCCATTTCCTTTGAATACGACTCCCACCGGAAATATCCAAGGACTAGGACCTACAACCGGCTCTATGATATCTTGACTTACTGCTTCGTTTAACTTTCTTTCAACTTTTTTCTCTAAAGCAGATGGTACCCTGCGCAGGGGTTGTTGGACCGGCTTCGCGGCCTTATTATATGACAATGAAATTTTAATGCCCTTAATTTTAGGAAATGTTTGGTGATCTTCAATGTGATTGACTCCACGGCCTAATTTCAGAACATTCAATTTGATAGCAGTATCTCGACCTAGAAGTGATTGACTCCCATTCTCAATAACATAGAAGGTGGATATTAGATTCTACTAAACTACTCAATCCTCTCCTATTACAGCCTCGAAAACAGCAGTAATTTTGAGCGGTGCATACCCAGCATACGCGCGAAACTGATTTTCAGACTCAGAACGAATGTTCCAAATGGTGGCATGTTCCTTGCAGAGATAGTCCCAATCTTCCTCACTCAACAGATTATATTGTGAACCAGAATCAATCAACATCGAAATCTTCCGGCCTCCTTTATAGCACTCTATCATTTCATTCATATGCCCGCTAAAATTGCTTACTACTTATGGCTGTCAAACAATCGAATTGCCTGCAATAGATGTCAAGCAATAAGCGCTGACTTATATTGCAGCACATGAGAAATAGGCGGTCTCCATTGGAAATATATTTTGTGACATAGTTTTCACGACATCAGTGTTTTCCTGTGGAGACAGGGCCTTAAGAGCCTGTGTGAATTTCTAGAACATTCAGATTTTAACAATTTCAGCACCACAAAAAACTAGAGCTTTCGCACGGGGGTTGTTTGGTTTTTCAACTGTCAAAGTTTTACTTTGCATTTGGCACAGAAAATTTCAATTGACTTGTACACCAAACTAAGGTCGGTGTTATGCAGACAAATTTTTGTTTGCCAAATTAAATGGCGGCTGCTTAGTTTGCTCGGAGGTGGTTATGTCGAGTTTGGCACAGTGTTGCACGTTCATTATGGTTTTCATGGCTATTGCCAACACGAAATGAGAATTTTGTGTATAGCAACACATAATATATATATATAATTTATATATAAGTTTTGTATATGACAACGCCGAATTTGCTGCAATTTGACCAAACAAAATTAGTTTGCTGTGAGAGTCGCCAAACTCGCTCTCTCCGAGTTTGCTGCAACAACAATTGCACGCAGTTTACCAAACAAAATTTCTGCATAACACCGACCTAAATTGTTCTACACCGTCAAACTGCGGTGCAAGGTTATTGATTGGAACACAGCCTTATATGACTTCTAAATTATTTTTATTGCGTTATCCATCACTGTGATTGTAAGCAGCTGTTTTCAAACGACGCGCGACGCGTTCCCCTTTGAAAGTGCAGTTGCTTTGGTTGGTAGTCCCGTTGGTTTTGTTCAAATTTCTTCAGATTGGATCAATTGGTCGCTAATTGCAATTAATATTGGAAAACGTATCACTCATACTGAAATGGAAAGTGCTCCAAATGAATTGAGTGATTTCGACAAAACGGAATTGGTGAGATGTGGAGAAATACTTGCATCTTCCAAACAAAAGGAATTTTGGTTTGGTTGCGTCCAATGCAATGGAGTCTTCTCACAGATGCCCACTTTTGCACGTCATCTACAATGGGCACACCAGTCTGATGAGTTACTTGGTGATGAAATTAAGCTTAAGGATATGAGCGTCTACACCGTAGAGGAATTGTTGAGCTATAATGATGCTACCACGAATGTCAACGGAGATGTTTCAACTGATGCAGGGATCGGAAAATCCAACGCAGACGACGATAATGATACAGGAATCGACAGCGATGTGGAACTAGAAAAGGAGATAGAAGAATTATTGACTAGTATGGCTACTACAGACACGTCCAGCGGTCATGATACTGAATGTTCCCAAAGTGATTCTGGCGTTGAAAGCAGAAATAACACTGATCAATATTATAATGCATCAAATCAATTAAATGACATGCATTACAAAAAGGGCCAAAAAACCGAAGTTGATATTTTGGTGGAGAATATTGGGAAAACTCCTTTTGACGATGAAACAAACAATTTACAAACTACCGTAGAGGTTTTGGAATCGGAAGACTTTGATAGTATGGAAGATGATAGCTCTTTGTGTCCAGAGGAGACGATTTCTACAACTGAATCCTTAAGCAATGTAGGTGAGTCTACAGATGATGGAATACATATGAATTATGCTGAATCAAGTATTGAAAAATCATCAAAAGTAGAAGAAAATTATCAAGCCTGTGAAGAGGAATTGTACTATCGCATAGGCGATGAAAAACGGTCAACTGGCCAGGGTGAAAAAACGACTTGCAAAGGCAGTATTTTTAAAATCCTTAATAGTAACGAAGAGGGTATATTCAATACTGAGAATGTAAACATAAATAAAAAAGATCAAGGTAATACTGTAATTAAAGAGCACGCGTCGACAGTTAAACATGAAGAGAATTTACTTGGTTTGGACAATGAACGCTATGAAGAATTAGATATGCTGAGCAATGGAGAGATAGAATGTGGGCGAGATATTTTCGAAGACTCACCATTCATAAACGTGGTATTATTGGGTGTTGATGAACACGTGCAAGACGAGGACCCAAAGAATGATGATTTAAGCTATGTTCCTAAATCTGATGAGTTGTCGCATCAAGATGAACAATCTACTACCAAACGGGGGCAATGCGAAGAGCCTTATGTAATTGCAGAAATTGACGATGAATTGGCAGAAATTCAATTTTCAAAGGAAGAAATAGATCAGATGAAATCGTGCATGCCTGATGTGTCTCTATTCAACGTAAAAGAGACTGAATTGGATTTTAAAATAAGCACAACAAATCTGAGTGGTTTTCAAATGGAATATGTGGGTTTCAACGAAAGCGCTGCATCGAACGAATGTGCTTTGTCAAACGTGGTGGAGGCCGAGGTTGCCGAGGAGCCTCTCGATCTTAGCTTCGACAAGAACGCGCTGGTAATTGACGTTCAATTGCAAGACAACTCGGAACTGTTTGGTTGCGCTAATAATGCGGAAACATCGCTAGATTTAATCACAACACAAGAAGACATGTTAATGGCAAATAAGTCGATCTCTACTGATAACACCAATCTATCAATTGAATACAACAAAATGCATTGTTGTCAGAGCATAGAAGGCCATCGATTGCCTCCATTTTCAAAAATTTTTAGAAACACTGCAAACACCTTGAGAGCTAACAACGGATTTCTGGCGCAATCTACACCTAAGCAAAAACAAGCGAATTCATCTAATAATAAAACCGTACATCTTTTGAAACACTCTGCTCAAACGGTCTTAGATGAAAAAAATCCTCAAGGTGCAAACGAGTTGGCACAAAATCCTGAAGACGTTGAAAATGTTACTCCATCGCCAAAAAGCAGCGATATACGAAATTGTCCCCAGCGGAAGTGCAAAATTTTGAAGCGATTTGGAAAGTCATACGAAAAGGAAAATAAACCCAAGAAGAAAAAAACGGATATTCTTATTACCAAAGAAGATGTTGAAGCAACAGATTCTGTCGAAAAACCAGAAATACAAATTTTGAGCGTTGATATTGTAGTTCCAGGGGAAATTACATTCACTAATAATTCGTCTCCAATTAAACCAAAAACTGAGGAATACCGAGCTGTTGAAAAGCTGGTAACTCGAACCGAAAAATGTGAAACGATCGCATGTAGCGACAAATCCCAATATGCAGCTGACAGCACCAGTGAGTATCCTGCAACGTCTTTTAGTGAAATCAACTATACTCCAGAAGATACGCTAAATCAATTGAAATTAGATGCTGCTACTGATAAACATCTGTTTGATTCGATAATGGTACCTCTTACTTAATTAAATGTTTCTGTTTGGAAGTAATGTTAGTTTGTTTCCTTTCAGCAAAATAGTTTAAACGATACGGCCCAGTTAAATTGCAATATTAACCAGGTAATTTAATACGGTTTATAATTTGTGAAATTAATACCAGTTTGTTAATTTTATTTTAGTCATCATTGATTGACGGAAACAGTTCATTGGATGAGAGCATACCCTCTACCGCGGTAAGTTGTATATAAGCTAACAGTTGCAATTGTTAAAATATTTTCCGTTTACAGTCTGAGGAAGAAAGGGAAAACTATGTGCTTCTACGATCTATAGGGGTAAGCAAACAACTAAAATTGTCTATGCTAGAAAATATATCGAGCCCTAACCGATAAAATAACGTAAGCATCTAGATCAGACTTTGACTTTGCTAGTGTGTTGGTGAGCACAGAGTAATCGTAATGCACTGTGGTGAAAAGAGTAAAATTTAAAGACCAAATGTGTTAACAGTGCAATGTGTCATACAGTGCCGGTCAAAAATGGATGAATGGTGCTTCGTTTTTAATATCTACAATGTTTTTCAAGCTTTTTTTTATATATTTTTATAATAATAATATTATATTATGGTTCATATATATATATATATAT